CTTTTTATAAATATTGCCATTTTTTATAATGCTTTATCAATGCATTATAATGTGTTATAAATGTGATCATCGTATGTTATAGACATAGGAGAAAGTTTTAGTAACATATTTTCCACCTGACATGGCCAGTATTTCTCACTAATTTAATTTTGCCAGACTGCTGCAGTGATTTGTCTCCATATGACTGTGCCCGACAGGATGGGGATGACCGGGTAAGGCCTCTGGGAGTCTCAGAGTGTGACAGGATAAGCACATGAAAGACACTGTCATGGGAGTCCGTCCCATGAAAACTGTTATCACATGACAAGACTACAAATCCAGGCACACAGAGGTTGCTGACGATATTTATAAAATGAGACACAGCATTCATCCAAACCATACAGAGAACATAAATGTGTATATGAATGTCTGCAAGCATTTATGTATTTATTGGAATATGCCCACACTAACCTAGAGTATTATGGTGTGGCATTCTGGGCTAGTCTGTGCTTGACGATGATCTGGACTTGCCTTTAAATATTTACTTTGTTTTAAAATGGATTGCAAGGCTCTTGTGTGTGTGTACTTCGGCAGGTATTAATACACTTGTACTGCCAGAATGATGACTGTTATAAATAGGTGTAATGAACAAGGGCCCAAACCCTCGACTCGTTCCTAAGAAGGAAATGGAGCTCAGCTGGGTAGTTGTGACCTTTGACTGCAGAGCTGATAAGCATTTTGTAAAAGTAGGACATCTGTTATTAGAGTGGAAAAGAAGGACAAGTCAAATATCTGGAAACACTTTACTTGAAGCTGTTATCTATAATGCATTATAGATACCATAATGCATTACAGGAGTGCCAACTTTGGTCAGCTGGCTAGAGTGAGATTTTTAATTCGAGACATGTCTGCACACACATGCGCATGGAGTTACGTGTATGTCACAGTTTTATTACCTTGTAAGTAGTCTATAGGGTGTTCAAACTACCCCAACGCTTTTGATGTAGCTAATTTTAGCATGTGGAAGTTTTACTTACACTAAAATGTCCTGAGGGCAAAAGGAAAAATGATTTGTTCAGAGAGATAACCAATCAGATTGTAGAGGAGGTGGGTACGAGTAACTCGAGGAGAAAGGGGCCAACCAATCTGCTTTATGAATGCATTATTATGTGCTATGAATGTGTTCCTATATTCTCATAGACCTGGCATTCATAGAAAGTGAAATTCTTTTTAATTGTGGCATGCTTTGGAAGGTTTTAAGTTTGATGTTTTACTATGGTTGTGGTTAAGAGATCCACATTTGATGTACTCTCTCAGTGTTTATCAAACTTATTTCAGTTTGTGTCATAGAAGCAGTTTAGAGCAAATCACCCCTTTTCATTCTAAGCCTAGATAGCCTGATGAAAGAGAGGGAGCTTATTTCAAAGTGTATTATTTACTAGATCTGGACCAAATATTTTGGTGCCAGCAAGCTGTTTTGACTCCATTTTGATATTCCATTTTCAGGGATGCATCAGGTACTCTGGTAAAGTATGAGAAAGTTATTTAGATATTTCATGCACTTGTAACAAAATTCAAATTAGATGCTGTTCACTTTTGCTAAAGTTATATGTTTGTTTGTACTACTACAAAGGATCAGTGCTCAGCACGATCACATCATTGTTGTCTCATAGAAAAGTTTTTTTGTCTAAGCATTAGTATCATTCTGAGTCTTATTCTCACGTTTATTTTACATTACCTAAAAATAAATTGACTTAAAACCAGACAATGTCTTGGTAGGACTTACCTCAGACCCCACAAGACAGTTTGCACTGAATAGGCTGGTGACCCTAATAATGCTGTCTTTCAGGAAATGCTGTCCTTAGCTTTACTATTACAAGGACTTTTATTATAACCTAATTATGGTATTTTGAGCACTATATTGGTCACCTAACCATTTCCTGAGCACTTTTGCTGAGTGTTTCGGGTCATTGTCATGTTGGAATGTCCAATGCTGCCCAAGGCCAAGTTTCTCTGCAGACTGCCTGATGTTTTTTTGAGAATCTTGATATATTCTTCTTTTTTCATGGTTACATTTACTTTGATTAGACTGTATGCCACCCCAGAGCATAATGTTCCCACCACCATGTTTAACTGTGGCGATGGTGTTCTTGGGGTTGAATGCTTCTCCTTTTTTATGCCAAATGAAAACCACATCGTGTGGCCAAACAATTCCATTTTTGTTTCATCTGACCACAAAATAGAAAACCGGATGTCTTATTCTTTGACCAGATGAGTTTTTGCAAAGGCTAAGCGTGCTTTTGTGTGCTTTTTTGGAGAAGTGGCGTCCTCCTTGGTCTGCGTGCCTGGAACCCAGCAGTGTGCAGCATCCGCTGGACTGTCTGCCTTGAGATGTTGGCACCAGCATGGCACGGTTCATCAGGACAGCCTTGGTGGTGATCCTAGGATTCTTCTTCACCTCTCGCAGGTGCTCACTGAGCTCTTTCATTTTAACCATGACTTGCCACAGACCAACTGCAGAGAGCTGCTGTTGTACTTATGAAGTTAATTCAAAACAGCTGTTCACAATTAATCCGGGTAATTAGAATGCCCTGGAACATTGTGGACTATTTGCAATCGGTATGAATAATTTCAGATATGACATTATTCTTAAAAATGTTAAAACAACACAGTTTCTTTTTTTCATTAATATCTCTAACACATTGTTGTATCATATTCTGAAACATGTCTATGTCCTTTCCAGTCAGAAGAAACCTGTTGGTTTAAAAAATAATCAGTTTTAATCTAAATCTGTCAGGAGAATGAATAATTTTGGGCTTAATTGTACATACAGTACATACATACATACAGTACATATATACACACATACATCTGAATATTCTGATCAGGGTTGTGGAATGTTTTTGTATTATTATTATTATTATTATTATTATTATTATTATTATTATTATTATTATTACTGTTGTTGTCATTGTTATATTTTACAAAACACATACCATAATCACACTCAGCAATAATTTTGAAAACCTACGCCACACTTCATCTTGAACGTACCAAATTAGTCTTTAAATAATTTTGTAACATGGTATTATTTTACTTGCATACCAACAATCCCAAAAGAGGTTAATGTGTCGTCGAATAAAAGCCTGTAGCGGTAATTGTACCGAATAGTTCAGTTTTATGATATCACATTATTCATCATTTTCCAGTGGAAAATGACAGAGGATAAGTTGAATGACAGAGGATAAGCTGAAGCTACTGTATGTCTACTGGTGCTGCCTAAAACATACCAGTATATAGGCTGCAACATGACATTGTTCTGCATGGCCCTGGAGTCATGAATAGTATTATACAGCTATTCATTCCAAAGTCTATAAGCACAAGTGATTTTCACTGGAGGGGTGATAGTTACATCAGAGAGCAGTGAAAACAGGCCAAGACTTGATAATAAGCCACCACATTTTTTGTACACACAGACCCCCAGTGGCTGAGCAAAGAAACTGGACAGAGGCTACTGCCAGGAAACAAATGCAGCCAGTGAAATCATCACCAGAAGACCTTTTTAAACACTGTTACTCTTAAAGAGTCACATTTCAGACTCTGGTTTTATGGTTTGCAAGTCCAATTTAACTACTTTAATATGCTCTCACATTTTAAGTTTTATGTGGCCTTCTGCTTATTTGTTTGTTCATTTATTTATTTATTGTGGTGCTTTGCACTGCATTTAATAACAAAACCACATATGATCATCAGTATGACTTTCCCACTCTTTGCCATTAACCTGCTTACTATATCGGTAATTTATATAAATATGAACGTTGAAATAATTTGATAATGGTTTAAATGCATTTGGAATTTTGTGTTCAAAATGCAGCCTGCCTGCTTCAGTTTACATTGTAGCATAAACCCATGCTATTATAAAGCAAAGCAACAGATAGATGTCTAGTTAAATCGATTTAAAATTATTATTATTATTATTATTATTATTATTATTATTATTATTATTATTAGTGGTGATGGTAATACTGATACGAACAACATAAAGTTGTCAAATATGGAAATTCCAAAAAAGCAACAGCTTCCTGGGTGAACAATCAACCTGCTGTTATACCGAAATGAATTCAGTAGTCTATGAACAAAGAAGTGGTCCTGCTAAGAATCACACTGACATCCATCACTCACTTTCAGTTTGACCAGACAGCCATAAAACTGCGGAATGAACTGGGGTCATCCAGTAATATGCAGCTGGCTGAAAGATGGACACAATTCATCTCGGTTTAACAGATTAGGTCCTGCTACAGTTAACACGGGAACATCTGATGTTTTATGGGAAAAAGTAGCAAATCTGGGATCTGACCTCCGCGTTTCTCACTAGCTTCTATTAACCTGAATCAGCCGTGTGCGTTTAGATCCTGATCCGGAGACAGGATACGGAAAACGGATTTCCTTCGTGGGATTTGGATTCATGTTATTTATTGGGATATTCAAATGTTTGAATGGAATGAGCACGATGAAGTACCAAGGAGATTATTTCAGAAGTGCCTGGCGACACGGGGAGAAAATCGGGGAAATTAAATGCCTTACTAAGACAAAAAAGAACGTAATATTTTCACACGTATAATTTTAAACTCATGTTAGGGACGCCCCAAGTTTCTTCAGAACCCTGCTGGTTTCGGAAAGGTATATAACGTGTAGCAGGTAGAAATATTAAGATAACGATGTATTCGGATCGGGTTTGAATCATCTTTCTGGACGTTCTAAAAGTACTTAATTACTGGGCACTATTAACATTTGTCATTTTGCCAAAACCAAAAACACAGATGCGCGTTACATTAGACCAATGCACTAGCTAGGTGATGTAGTCATTAGTTATTATTTTGCGAGGCTCGGCTTTAGAAAATGAATTTAAAGATGGTGGTTTTATCGAGCCGTTGACTTTCCACAAGTGAGTCCACTCCAGGTTTTAACGGGAGCAAATTCTCAGCAGACACATCAGCCTCATCATAAACTTGGCTTGAAAAGAATGGCCCGCCTCCCCCCTCCGACATGTTCAATGTACCGGAGGCTTAAAAACACCATCCTTTTCCACGGGGCATCCAGACGCAAGGAAGGCGCTGGATTAAATAGCACTTCGAGATTCCTCAAACTAAACAAGCGTCATTAACTACATATATATAACAAACATCTGGAAGTGATTCTGAAGAGACGGGAGTAAAAGATTCATAGAAAAAGCATGGATTTTCTAAATCACAACTATTTGAACTCCCGCGCTCCTTATGATTACACGTTTAATTTCTGGAATGACTATCTGGGCTTGTCAACGCTAGTGACTAAAAACAAAAACAGCGCAGCGCAGAGTCCCAACTCCATCACGGAGTCTCTAAAAGCCACCCTGGGCTTGGACGACGCCCCCGGATGCCCGTGCGTGATCGGGGCTGGCGGAGACGGCGGCCACTTGGACTGCTGCTGCCCCTCTGCCAGCCCGCCGCCAACTTCCATCCTCGAACTGAAGGAGCGGTTCTCCATCTTTAGCCCTTTCCAGCACCAAAGCGTCCCATCGCAAGACAAGGACTCCTGCTTTGGGGGGAGCTTCGCTGGCTTCGACCTTTTCGGCATCGAGAGGAAGATGAGGAAGCCGACGCCGAGGAGTAAACAAGAGCCCAAAATCTGCGTCTTTTGCCGGAATAACGGAGCCCCGGAGGAGGTTTACGGCTCCCATGTACTGAAGACGCCCGACGGGAGGGTAGTTTGTCCCATTCTCAGGGCTTATACCTGCCCGCTATGCAGTGCCAACGGGGACAATGCGCATACGATAAAGTACTGCCCGCTTTCCAAAGATCAGCCCGTCCAGCGGCCGCTGAAGGGAGGCAGGGCAGTGGGTGGTAAGAGACTGAAAATATTTTAAGTAGTCCCTTAATTAAATAGCGAATTAACAGACAAAATTTAAAGATTGCACTGAACATTTTAGATGACTGTTTCTATACGCTGGTTATAACTTCTACAATATAATTTTATCCATAGGTAAAATAAAGGAAAAAATATTGTACATTCACAAAAATGTTCTTCCTATATATGCATATTTAGGTTACATAGTTCTTGTTTCAATTATTGCTCATTTTCATTGTTTATTTCTGCTGGCTTTTTTCCCTTCTTTCTTTTTCTTGCGCATTACTTGAGGTGCACCTTCATCCATGCTCACATTTTCTTGTGAACAGTCAATGACTGGTGTTCACCTGAGGACAGCTTGAAACAGAACATATGAAGACTTTGCGGCCAAATGCATTGTATTTATTTAACGTCGCTTTGACTAACGAACCAAAGTTTATTTCGGCACATTTTAAACGGAAGAATGTCTCCGCTTCGTGTTAACACTGAGGCTATATTTGTGTCCATTATGTCTTACTTTTCCCTGTTGAGGATTCTCTCCATTAATCATTTCCATTGAGTCGATTCACTGTTTAAGTTCGTCCTTGATGCCATAAGAACATAACATATATACGAAGAAAAACGCAACTAAAACAAAAACGCTACTTTACCGTACACAAAGTTCATAATTATGACTAACATTGCCAAATTATCACCCCGCCTATGGCCCCGTGTGAGGCTGATATTTTTCCTCCTGTTTCAATGAAGGAAGACGCATAAAAGCGACACTGATGTTTACGTAACAGAGAGAAGGTAAAACACTGGATTGCTTTTGGAGTATAAAATATAAAATATGAATCATGTTATTTGTCTGCGCTTGCTTAAACCATACCAATGTACTATCTGATGGGAACGGGAGGGAGGTTATTTTTTAACAAGGAATGACTGGGATTTCTCGTGAATTCTACAAGTTCTGTAGACTGATTAAACTAATGAATGTCATTAAAGCCTTTAAAAAGATTAATGGTCAATGTATTATCCCTCCCCCCTCCCCCTACTTCATTATTTTCAGAGTTTATATCCAAAAGATGCAAAATATTGTGAATGTATAAGAAAGTGAAACATGCCACTTTGAGAACAGTTTTGTTTACCAAAGGAATACAGTTTTAAAGAAATGAGAAAAGTAATAGATTTGCTGTATTGTATATAGAAGTCTGTATTGTTTATCCAGTATTTTAACACTATTATAATGGACTTAAGAGGGCACTACCTCAAAAGAATTTTCAAACAATTAAAAATTTATACTTACATGTAAAATTTCTTCAATTACAGCTGATGAATATACTGCTGCCATTTATAATAAGGGTTTTTAATAGTATTTTTTGGATCTTTGTATAACATAATTGTATTTTTTTTCTTTTGCATTGTACGTTTGGAAGTCAGTTTCCGATTAGCTCGAAGCATTGTTCGCCAAAAGGCGAGTGTTGTAAATAATATTATCCACACTTTTTTTGAAGTTGTGCTATTCGTTTCATTGTTTTAAAGAGGATAAACAAGAGATGATGGAATACGTTTATGATAATAGAAAATTGCCAGCTTTATCTGAAGTTTTTAATTAAATGAGGAAAAAAAATCAAACAGTGTTGATCTTTGTTATTTATATTTTGTCTCAATTCTCTGTATACTGCAATGCAGAACTTTAAAATGAATTCATCACAGAAATAAACAGCTTATCAAATACTTTACCTTCTACATTACTTGTCTGTCATTAGTCCTCATATACAATAAATGAATGAACTTGCCTTATTTAATGTTTAAGTGGCCGGGCAGCATTAGAATAGGTAATATTACAAATTTGAATATAAATATTTTGCCATAGAAGTCAATTTCTTCTTTAGAGGAAATTGTGGTTTCGTCTTTGGTTTTCAAAGCCAAGAAATGATTTAGAAGATAAATGCCAGTGAGGAATAAATAAGATCTCCTGTTACCACTAACCCCAGTGGTCTTGTCTTCAGGAAATGTCTGCTCCACAGTCCATTCAGACCAACCTTCTTGGGTGATATCTCGCATAAAAGTCGGCTAACTGCACATAATTAGCTTGCTGGGAGCAGCAATGAAGATACTCAGGCTGCAGTTGTGTCCTGCCAGTGCTGGTGGCCAGACCATGGTACCACACTGGGCCTCTTTTAGCAATAATGGATGAACACAATGAAAAGTGGGACTGGAAATTTAGGACGGCGCAGTGGTCTGGTGAATGCTGGTTAAAGATGCATGGAAAGTGTCCAATGGTCACCAAAGCCATACAGAGCAAAGGCTGCCCATGTTTGCTGTTGAATAATGTTTTCCCAGGCTCAGTATTCAATGCAGCTCATTCACAGTTGGGGCTACACTCCCACAGGGACACAGAAATAGGTCAAGCTAGGGAAGGCGAAGGTAAACATGACGATTCACTGTGTATATATAGGGTAGTAGCTGGGAATTTCGGTAGCCAAAATGTGCTGAGTTAGAAATTCAAGAGTGAAAATAAGCTAGTCACACCTGGTGTACAGTAACACATAGTACTGCATGGAATAATGGTTGTCGAAGATGTTATATGAGAGACATTCTGCAAGCCACTTATGAATAAATTGCTAATTATGATGCTATTAAGTATATTAATGCATTTCTAGATATTAATAACAACTATTAATACATAAAATTGTTGCATATGTAACTGATAATTGATAATATATCCAATTTTAGATAATCAGCAGACTTTGGTATTATTCCAGTTGGCACACCTTTCAAAGGGGACGTCATTTAGGGATCGGGGTGAGTTAGGGTCCCTTCGCAAGAGCTGAGGCTGCTGGGAAAAAGCAAAGCAGCAGATCTGCTGGCGTGTCTCCATCCAGACCCCCACACTGCATCTTCAGCACTTCAGTTACACTCCACATCAATAGTATGTGAGTATTTCCCTAGGAAACGTTTAGCTAGTAGCTTAAAAACATCTATATCCTACTTGGGACCTTTGCCCCTGGCTTCACAGTAATAACAATGGCAGCCAAATCAATATGATGAGGATCAGTGGGAACCTCTGACTGGCAAACCCATTCCCAAGCCTGGCCCAGACAGCTGGGGCCTGGCAGAACATATTGAGCTCCAGCAGAGCATGAAAGCCATTAAGGTGAGCCTCTCCTTCTCTTCCTTGCACAAAGTGGATGTCCTTCTGGGACTTGTGTATCCTGCACATTCATTGTCATTGGATGAGGAGTGAGGGGAAAAAAAGGTGACCCCGAAGAGGTAGATTACACAGTGATCTCTTAGGATGAACACAAGCCTTGGCGCAATTAGTGGTGCAAAGGTATGGTATCAGGGAAACCTCATCAACAGGCATTCATAGACTGGGAGGTTTAAATATGAAACAGTTTGTAGATTAAGGAAGATGCAGGACTGTTAAGTGGTTTTGTTGTCCTCTAAATGTGACTAATGGATATTAATAAACAAAATTATTATATATTACTAGTAAAAAAAACAAGAAGAAATTGATTAAAAATCCAACCCTTTGTTTAACTTGATTTTAAAAACTATCATTACAAAGCAAATTCACCCGACCAAAGTGTAATTTTGCTAGCAAAGCATTCTTACCCTGTGATGGACTGAACCCCCCACAGTCCTGACCAGGGTGTGCGGATGGAGGGGAAGAATTTAGAAAATTCATACATGCAACAACTCCATTGAAAAGACATGGTAATGATCAAAACAACACCTATCCGGTCACGTGACCCGTGTCCTTTAGAACCTAACATTTCCCTCTGCTTCCTTATCCCAGGCTAACTAATGCCCTTTTTCCTTCTGCATGTCAAAGGTAGGAATTTTCCATCGGCTGTATTGAGTTAAACAACTGAACCAGAGACAAGGCTCCACTTCTTTACACCACAACTGAACCCTCTGTTAAAACTGTATCCAATAAAAAGTCTACACCTTTCTGCCTGAGCTTTTCTCAGACGGCTCCTCCTTGGTTGGGCTTTTGATCTGCCATGTGAAACTTCAAGCTTCCTCTCCTTCTCTGGCCCTGTTGTACATTCATTCTCCTCCCTAATGGCATATGATTACCCTGCCTGTAATCCCCAACCACTTACACACTAGCTAACACAGCACTGGCAAAGTCCAGCCTGCACCGGTGCCAGTTTTATGTCAGTCCTGCCCCAAGTGTCAGTAGTACCTTGTACATTTCATCTTGTCGTAGTTGTGTCCCATAGGGTCCAAACCATGATATAGAGAGAAAGGTGTATCATGCAGAAACATGGTTGAAACTCCAGAGTATAAACTGAATTAAATCCAGCTTATTATTGACATCTGCCAACCCAGCCACAAAGTATTTCGAAAAGTCAAAGGATTATAATAATGTCTCTCTCTGTGTCATTCCCTGTATAATTTCATTACAATTTTTTGAGCTTTCCTAAAACCTTTCCCGGTCGCTGTGATATCCCCTTCCAACTGAAGCACAGGGTTTTCTTGATAATAGATATTTACACTCCTTTCAGACTCCTTGGTCATCCTTAGCCTAATCAAAAAATAAATAAATCTTCTGGGATGAGCTGATACAAACCAGGAAAAACATCCTACAAATATTAGTACTAATTTGCCCTGCAATGACTGCCAACTATAATCCAAAACCCAGCTACCCATATAAAATAAAAGCTCACTGTAGTAGTGAAGGTTAATTAATTTAAAGGCTGTATGTCAGGCTGGATGGTGCTAAAACTTGCCATATGAGTCCAGCAAGAACAAAGGCCTGGTCTAGGTCTTATCTAACAGACCAGGTATAAGAACCCATAGTTTTGCTTTCATTCAGGTTAACTTTCAGCTCACCTTGGGCAGATTTTCTTTCAATCCCATTTATTTCTGTGAGGTGGCCTAAGAAATGGGTTTTTCAGCAATCTGGTCTCAAATAAATACACAACAAAATGGTTTTTTTTTTCCTCCGGCACAGAAAAAACAGTGCACTGTGGGTAGGCACTAAGAGTTGCATAACACCGGGGTTTTTGTAAATCATCCCACAGTTTTAAATTCCTGCCCTGCTATAAGACCTGTATATTATGGAAAGTATTATTACGATGCTACAAAATCAAGCATCACTTTAGCTGTTTGAAACTAATAATTTTGGTTTAATGAGTCTGTTTTTAATTTCAACAACAGCCAAAGATGAGTCTTTAACTCTCTTAAGACTCAAACAGTTTCTAGAGCTGATAAAGGATGGAATCTGCAAACATTGTTGTCTTCATTCTAAAGATTTAACAATCCAACAAAAATGGCTTTAATGAGAGTGTCTGATGTATAAAACCAATTGAACTGCGTAAATGAGCAGCCTAAATATAAACCAAGGCTGTCCACTGGGTTTCGGAGAAGCTGCGCGTGCGAGATGTGCAGTTTGTTGGTGAATATTAACCCTGCCTGTGACCTCATCTTCCTAGGTGTCAGGGCTGGTTAACACAGACAGGAGGAGGATGTGTGCTTATGAGCACAGGAGAAGATACACACAGTCAAGCAGCCACAAAAAAGCTAAGCAAAAAGAGTGGTGTGCCTTTTCAGATCTACAATTTAATATTCTTTTTTGTCATTGCCTCAGCGGCCTGCATGTGAAGAAGCTGAATTAGTGTACCATTTTATTGTCCTGACTCTCGACGCGATGGAGCGGCAAGATAGCTGGAAGGAGAGAAGCACGAACAGAATGAAATATCTTGCTCTAATTTCTTTTTTTTTATACAAAGTATGGAACTGGAGGTAGCTGAGGTCAACAAATGCTATATTAAGAACATGACATTCTTGGAGTTGTTACAGAAATAACCAAATGATAAATACAGCACTGCAGAAAACACAATAACTAAAAGAGCCAGTAACCTACAGATAATAGAAGTAGTAGTTATTTTCTTATCATGCTCATATAACTAAAAAATAATCATACCCCCCTCGCTTTTCACATTTAAAATAGGCAACAAAATACATGCAAAAGATCAATATTTATTCCTTCAATCACAATGTCCAATATGATTATGGTATAGACTGATGAAGGTCTCTAGGTACAGCTGATCGACCACGTCCTCAGCAGAGAATATGCATATGCCACAAGATCTGACACGTATAGTGTATCTGCCAGCGCCTGTGTAAAAGCAGCACAAATTCTATGTTATTTGGCAGGAAAGCCAACATGACCTAGAGGACTGTCATTGTCTTTCTTTCTGTTACATTTAATTTGGATTGTGACTCTTTGGGAAAAGCAATATTGCCCCCAGATAATTCTATAAAAAGTGACTTGTTCAGTTACAGATCTGGTTATAATTATGAATGGTAATTGCATCACAGTAACTGTGAAAGGAATACATTTGATTTGTGAACATGATGATCGTTATCTGCATTTTCAGAAAGTTAAAATTGTACTAAAGCTGTGTGCAATCTGACAGGGGCATATGCTGGGCTAAATACAGAACTGGTAGTGATATATTTTATTTATTTTAAATTGCATCATAGTTATGTGAGTTTTTGTCAGTTTGCATGCACTAAGCATGTCATTTGAATGTGTATTTGGGTTTATGCCATCAAAAACCGCACAAACTGCATCAAAGCAATTTGGTGTCAAAGAAAAGGGGTCAGTGATGCTCTAAGAAGCCCCTTCCTGGCTTGTGCCCGAAAAGAGGAATTTGTGAATGGGTAATGGAGCACTGAGGTAACCGTGGTCTTGCTCTGGGGCTCCGGAGACATGG